GGTGTTTAAAGGGCGCATCGAGGTCCATGGGATGAGGCATGCGCCAACGAGTAAACAAAAATTCAAGTCACTATCAATTCATTTGAGATGCCTCGTCAAAGGCTGACTGTGCTGTCAAGCTGACCCTGCATAAAAAGGGGATTAATTAGTTGCTCTCTAGTATGTGACCGGGACAGACCGGATGAGGGGGGACCGGGATCCGAACTCAATCGGCCAGCCGCTATTCAATATCCGTACAGCAAACTACTGTCACGACTACGGCGGTTGACGGCCACGTTTTTACGAATTGCTGACTTGGGAGGAAGTGCAGTTCGTGCTGGACGGATTCGGCCAAACGGGCATCGTGTGATGCGGTTTTAAGTGGCGGCAGCTCCCATGTCTCGCGATTCTATGGGGTTGGAGCCGTTGTCTGACAGCTGCAAAACCCCGGATCCGTGACTGGACCGCATGCGACGTGCAGTAGACCTTGGCGTGTTAGGGTTGCGGATGTGTTGACCAAACATGAGATGAAATGCAGCTTGGCAGCATAGTGCGACACTAAGTATTGAATGCCAGGATGACAACCTAGATACGTTGATGACAAGAGAAGAGAAAAGGTGGTGAACAAGGTGAGTAAAGACTTCAGTTTGGTGTTGGTTCGGATCGATAGGAAAAGATAGGGGACCTCGGGAGTGGCTTCTCAAGATTTGTGGAGGATATTGTGGGAGAGTGTGCATGTGTGACTCTTTACGGTTCACGACTGCAACTGCGTGGGTGGTGACTGGTGAACCATTCTGGGGCAGGGAAAGCGTGGAAACGGTCGCAGACGTCGGGTGTTTGCTCCGCCCACTTTCCTCGGTCTGGCATTCGGGGGCATTCAAGGTCGGGGAGGCACGAGGGAGACCGGAATGGAACAGAGGGCTAGTGTGGGGAACGAGGTAAGTGGCCAATCAAGAATGAGTCATAAAGCGGTTGAGTCAGCAGAGGTGGCTGGCCGTTCAGTCGACTGCGGTTCCGTTATTGCTATCGTTCTTTCCGATCTTTATAGCTGCCGGTTAGGAAGCTGCCAGTGAGGCGCGGAGTAAAGAAGCAAACATGGGAGGAAGGCGGTAAAGATGCAGCAACTGCAGCAGCGCGGGAAGGAACAGTCAATGGGAGGGAAGGTCAGGCCGATATCGCCACCCCAGATTGGACCTGTGGCCCGTGCCCCTCCCCCGATGGGCAACGCTTGTTCGTTCTCGCCCCCGTCGTGGCCCGTCCTGCGCCCTTCCAGCCAGTCATCGGCCGGCTACCCCACACCTCGACGGCCGATAATTTTTTTTGGTTTTTTCCCTGGCTCCGAAACAGCAGCCGCGCCTCTCCACCACTCTGCGTTCTTCTGTGTGTGAGAGAGACAGAAAGAGAGACTACCCGAAAGTAAAGAGAAAGACACAGAGACAGCGGTGACTCTACGCAAAGTTAAACCCCGGTGTGCGCCGTGCCTCTCTTCTACCTGTCTATTATCCTTACGCTACTAGTTGTGTCTGTGCCCGGCCCCCAATTCCCAATCTCGAATTTGACATCTGCTGCTCTAATTTGCCAAAACCTTGTGACTGGGCTTTCTTTCCCTTCCCTCCTCCTTCTCTCCTCCTTCCCTCCTCCAATTGACTCCGCGATCTCTGCAACCTCCATACCCCCTGCGATCGTCCAATTCGACGAGCCGCTCCCCTCTCGCTGTCTGTTACTCTTTGCTCTCTCCTTAGAGACATTGACGAAGCATCACACCGAAGGACACCTCTTCTTCCTCTTCCTTCTACTTTGTTTCTCCCCGGTTCATCTCCACTCCACCGCTCATCATGATGCTCCGAACCCGCCACGCCGCTCGCGCCCTCAAGGCCGTCTCAAGAGCGAGCGCTCCCCGTAACCTCACCACCTCCTCTGCCGTCGCCGCCATTCAGGCCACCAAGAAGGTCCCTTCCGGCGTGAGGACGCAGGCTACCTCTGCCACCTCGCCCGCTCCGTAAGCTTCTTCCCATGCTTCCATTAACTGGGGAAACTGCACAGCCAGTCGACAAGACGAAGCTGGTGACTCACGAAACATTTGACTAACGACCCTGTTTTACCAATTGTAGTGAGGTTCGAGACACGCCCGCACCCGCGTTCAACGCCGACAAGAGCCATGTTCAACCTCTTCAGCGCTCTACCGGCCCCGAGATGGACGAGTCGTACGTAGCCCCTCGTCGCCAACTATACCCACCGCCGTTGTCGGCTTGTTGGAAGCGCGCGGGAAAGCTTACGTTGTAACACAGGTTCATTGGCAAGACTGGAGGAGAAATCTTCCACGAGATGATGTTGAGACAGGGCGTGAAGCACATCTGTACGTGACTCAACTGCGTATATCAGGATGGCATCACAGAGACATGGCTGACCGTGACTCACAGTTGGGTACCCCGGAGGTGCCATTCTCCCCGTTTTCGACGCTATCTACAACTCAAAACACTTCGACTTCATTCTCCCTAAGCACGAGCAGGGCGCCGGCCACATGGCTGAGGGCTACGCCCGCGCCTCGGGCAAGTGCGGTGTCGTCCTCGTCACCTCCGGCCCCGGTGCGACGAACGTCATTACCCCCATGCAGGATGCCCTCTCCGATGGCACCCCCATGGTTGTCTTCTGCGGTCAGGTCGTCACCTCCGCCATTGGCAGTGATGCTTTCCAGGAGGCTGATGTCACTGGTATCTCCCGTGCCTGCACAAAGTGGAACGTCATGGTCAAGAACATTGCCGAGCTCCCCCGCCGTATCAACGAAGCTTTCGAGATCGCCACCAGCGGTCGCCCCGGTCCAGTCTTGGTCGATCTTCCCAAGGATGTCACTGCCGGTGTCCTGAGGAGAGCTATCCCCACCGAAACCTCCCTGCCTTCCCTCCCGAGCGCCGCCTCAAGAGCCGCCATGGCCCTGCTCCAGAAGCAGCTTGAGCAATCCATCAAGCGCGTTGCCGACCTCGTCAACATCGCCAAGAAGCCCATCATTTACGCCGGTCAGGGTATTGCCCAGTCTGAGGGTGGCCCCGAGATCCTCAAGGAGCTTGCCGACAAGTTCTCCATCCCCGTCACCACCACCCTTCATGGCCTCGGCTCCTTCGACGAGCTTGACGAGAAGTCCCTTCACATGCTCGGTATGCACGGTTCCGCCTACGCCAACATGGCTATTCAGCAGGCCGATCTTATCATCGCCCTCGGTGCCCGTTTCGACGACCGTGTCACCCTCAACGTCGCCAAGTTTGCGCCTGGTGCCAAGGCTGCCGCTGCCGAGGGCCGCGGTGGTATCGTCCACTTCGAGATCATGCCCAAGAACATCAACAAGGTTGTCCAGGCCACCGAGGCTGTCGAGGGTGACGTCGCCACTAACCTTCGCACTTTGATCCCCCACTTGAAGCCCAAGACCATGGAGGACCGCAAGGAATGGTTCGACAAGATCAGGGAGTGGAAGGCAAAGTGGCCCATGTCCGACTACGAGAAGGCCGAGCGCTCCGGCCTCATCAAGCCCCAGACTCTCATTGAGGAGCTCAGCAACCTGACCGCCGACCGCAAGGAGACGACCATCATCGCTACCGGTGTCGGTCAGCACCAGATGTGGACCGCTCAGCACTTCCGCTGGAGACACCCCAGAACCATGGTTACCTCTGGTGGCCTGGGTACCATGGGATACGGTCTCCCCGCCGCCATTGGTGCCAAGGTCGCCAAGCCCGACGCTCTCGTTATCGACATTGACGGCGACGCCTCCTTCAACATGACCCTCACCGAGCTTTCCACCGCTGCGCAGTTCAACATTGGCGTCAAGGTCATTGTTCTGAACAACGAGGAGCAGGGTATGGTTACGCAATGGCAGAACCTCTTCTACGAGGACCGTTACGCCCACACCCACCAGCAGAACCCCGACTTCATGAAGCTGGCTGATGCCATGGGTGTCCAGCACCGCAGAGTGAGCAAGCCTGATGAGGTTGTCGACGCTCTCAAGTGGCTCATCAACTCCGACGGCCCCGCCTTCCTTGAGGTTGTCACCGACAAGAAGGTGCCTGTCCTGCCGATGGTGCCCTCTGGATCAGCTCTCCACGAGTTCCTGACATGGGACGGAGGTTAGTATTCCCCATCTATTGACTTTTGTAAGCTCAATGCTAACCCCTTGACAGAAAAGGATAAGAAGCGCCGCGAGCTGATGCGCGAGAGAACGCGTGGTCTCCACGGCTGAACAGCCAGCACTCGCAGCTCTTTCTTGTTATCTAATCTGTCCACATTGGAGGCGTCCATGCATATTGCTCTCTCATCTTATACCACCAGGCTTTGTTGGGTTCTCTTTGGCCATAACGAGATCTCCATCTTGAGCAGAAAAGTCCTTCCATTGGGATCAGGGATTTTTCCTACTACGGGCGACTGTATCGCAGGTTTCGTCCGGAACAAAACAAGTTCAAAAAATCAAACAAAATCTAAAAAGTGCTTTATCGCAGCATTTTCCGTAGTCTGGGGGCTTCATTTCGGGCATTCACACCAAAAATCGACCGTCACGGAGTTGGGTTAGTTTACCTCGACCTTGTCAAGAGAATGTACATATATCAAACTTCACGAGTTGAATGTTGAAAAGTTTTTTTTTTGCACCTCATCTCAACCTTGCATCGCCTCTATCTTGTAACGTGATGTGTAAACTGTGTTGGCTAGATTATAAGTCCACGATCATATGGGGTTGCAGGTCCAAACGAGCGGACGAAACGTGTATCCTTTTGCTTTACACTAGCGCTAGATCGTAAACTGTATTGTATGGTGACCAGGATAGCTACAAGTCACCATCAGATTCGATGGACAACGACCTTCCCCTAGGCAGCATACATGCACATACCGGGGCAGCAGACCGAGTCCATGTGCGGATGTCGCCATCACCTTCGGGCCGATCGTTGTCTAGCACTCATAATACCACAAGAATCATCATTACCTATGAACATAAATGACAATTTAGTATTAGACCTGTATCCTATCGCATACTTTACATCTTTCTACTCGTTGGCCACCTCGTCATCTAATTCTGCGTGGTTGGCGGCAGCGCTTGCTAGCTCCGCCATCCTAGTCGTAGGTTCAGGCGGGTTGACTGGGGAGGCATTTTCCTCATCTGCTCCCATACCTTACCGCCGCCTTTCGACTCGACGTGATTCTCGTGCCGCATTCCTTGCCTTTCGCCGTCGTCGTACCAATTCGCCCATCAAGGATAGAAGAAAAGTAAGGCTCAAGGCAATCACAGCAGGGAAGGAGACGACAGCTAGCCCGTATCCAAGCACCTTAGCACCGAGGCTAATATCTCTAAACATGCCAATGAGAAAGGAAACGACAAGAATAATGCAGAATAGACCCAGACCCAGCCACCAAAGAATAGACGCAAGTATCCGAAAGTGTACGTATGTGGAGAGCTGCTGCTTTCGCTTGGCTACTTCCTCCCTATACATCGCATTCCTGTTCATCTCCATATCGAACTGGACCAGATAAGGCCCGGTCACAAAATTTACAAAGTCTAAGAGCAAGATGAAGCAAAGCGCAAGGGCTCCAAGAAGAGTCACAACACCAAAAAAATCATATAGAAGCGCACCTAGGTCTTTGAATCGTGTCTGCATACTTAGAACCCCTGAAGATATAGAAAGAGGTAGAAAAATTGTGGCAAGTATACTTAGCTGCTGGACACTATCGGTTTGCTTTACCTCTCTCCTTACTTCTAGTAAGCTGAGGTCATGCTCCATTGCGGTAGAGAGTCTCGTTAGGCTACCTCTTAACTGTTTGCAATACAAGCGGATCTCGAGTTCTATGGCCGCTAATTGGGGAGTCTCTGACATTGCTATCGGGATATTGGACGTTCTCGATATTGGCGTGGACGATCCAACTTGACTTCTTGTGGCGCTCTGGAGGATTTCAACTAGTGATTCAATGGCCACTAGCATTCGATCTCCAATTTCTGAAAATTTCTGAATCAATTGATGGTCTGCAGTGACTTTTCCAACGTTGCCCTCTTGGAGCTCTGCACGGGTGGGGTCCAACAATCCCCGCTGCCTCCCGAAGGCGGTTTCATATACCAATAGAAATCGAGCATACAACAGCAGATTGGCATGGCAGAACTGTAGGCTGAAAGCCTTCATCCAGTCCGACGTGTTTTTGAAAGGGCGATACATAGCGTCGAGTTCGCATAGCTATGTAGCAAAGGTAGCTGTTGCTTGGTAGAGACCGAACTGTTCTTCTGGGAAACGACGATTGTTTCCCGTTCAGTCTGTACGGACAAGTGTTCTGCACATGATAAACTCTGATCAAAAGTCAGTTACACATCTAGCTAGTCCAGCTTCGCGTATTGCAGCAGGCTTACCTTGTAGTCGATTGTCAATGACCTGAAAGCGTAGATACCGCACGACATTGACCCAGCGAACTTGAGGACTGCCTCGCTTGCTTTCGATGAAATTGAAAGACTCTATCCTATGCTATCGAAGTGGTGAGGCCCAATATTGGTTGCTAATCAACGACAAGAAGCCCACAGTAGCGATCCTAAGAGGAGGGAACTTGTACGGGAAGTCCATTCCGGATGTGGAGTCATTGTCGCGAACGTCATCGTCAAAAAGCTCCTGGAGAAATACTCGAGCCACTCCATCCGCCTGGGGTGGAAGTGCACTCATTAATGACTCTAATCGGGCATTGTTGTCATCATTGGCCTTGACAGTGTTCCGAAGGGAGAATGGCTCCCAGGCATCGGTCTGGCTGAATGATGCGCCAACATCGTCCCATATTCCAATAAATCGGCCAGGCTCGTGTAAACGAATCCATAGATCGGTATCGTAGGATGCCGCTGTCTTTGCAGCCCTAGTTATTCGGTTTAAAAATGATTGTGGTCGTAAGAGGCTTACTAGAAAGCCCAATGTGAATGCAATCACGGACGCCAAATCTTTGATCAATTTGACTATGGCCATGATCGATTAATGAAGAATATGGAGATTTTGAAGGCGCAGATTGGCAAAAGTTGAGAAAGAGGGGGGAATGGTACGTCTCTTCGCGAAAGCCCTGTCATACGACAGTATTCTATACCATGAGGCAGCCACGTATCCTAGCCGACCGACATCTTGCCCGTCTCACGCCCAACCAATCGGGCAAAGTAATGACTCCCGAAGCTCCTCAGTACCTTATGCTAGGGACTTCTTCACTTGGGCGCTTAGGTAGGCTCTGATGGTGTGGCCTTTGCCAGCCACCAATTAAGAAACACTATTTATCTGGCAAAGTAGTGTGTCTGACATGGCGTCCGCATAAGACAATTTCGAGGCAAAGATTCTTTAATCGTGTGGTAGTCTGTTGTTCGTCTTGTTGGAAACTACCTGCACAAAAGAGCCAGACTACGTTGCGTACCTGTGATTTCATTGATGACATTCATGGTTGTTTCACTCCCTATTCTTCTCTCTCCTCCTTTCCTATCTTCAAGCGAATCAAGCTTTGAACTGACGGAAGTAAATATGGGCAAGGATGAATATGATATGCCTGCATGTCAATTCTATTGTCACGAGACCTTACCCGACGTACCTTACCTTCGGCCTGAGACAGCTTGCCAAGAACCATACTCCCTTTCAAGGGTGTCTCTATCGGCGCAAGTAGCCACCTCGAAGTACGGTCTACCTAGCTCAACTCCTCAGGAATCTGCACCTGTGGATCCAACGAAGTTGAAGGCGGCCACTCGTTGATAATAGGAGAATAGGGATTATTTCGCGCTCCTTATGTCTTCTATTCTCTTGTTGACATATACAATGTGAAGTGCGACGCAACCATGATTGGGCATCGAAGGGAACAGGAAGTGCATCTAGCTGCTACACACCTAGGAACATCGATGAGTAAGATATGAGCAGGGGGAAATAGGAGGAAGAAATATAACTCCAGTTTGAATTGTCTAAATGGTATTTCCATCAGGGAACGCCCAGACGTCATCATAATCATCATCCAGTCAGAGCCGCCTTCGGATATCAACAAAGCAATGCCAGTGGGTAGCCACTTCCCTCGCCTCCCTAGCGTCTTCGGCGACCCCGACATATCCAACCCAGTACCTATAGCGAAGAAGGCTCATTGGGGGTATCTTGTAGTCTATAGTTTTCGACCCCGACCCCAAAACTAACAAAGAAAATGCAAAAGGAAACATGTCTATGAAGCTGCGCCACCACCCATGCATTCATGTCATGTAAAGCGTTAGGTAATACAGGTCTAAAATGGTTTGTATGAACAAAGAAGATAGAAGAGGGGGAAATGGTGCAGAGACAAGGGAGTTTGGCTGTCTCAGATCCACCCAGCTAAAGCCGCCTTCTCCTCAACGGGTGACGTGACAGGCGACGAACGGCCACGACGCTTGAGGCGCAAGTTCTCCAGGCTCCTCATGCCCCACGAGCGGGGACGTTTCGCGGCGGTGGTGGTGGCAGATGCGGATTGAGGGACCTGGAGCAACGGACCCAGGCTGCTGTCCTGGTCTTCGGTAGGTTGTGGCGAGGGTGTGAGATGGCGCGCAAAGTCGCCGAAAGACCGCCTTTGCTGCTGCTGTTGAGACGTAGTAGTATCGGTCCAAGGGTAGATGGGGCCCTGCTGCAGCATATTTGTCGTCGCCCTGTTACCCGGCATGAACATGGGGTCGAAGATCTGCTCGTCCTCGGGCGGGCCAAGCACAACGTCCGTAGACCAGGCGTCACGCTCGGGGATGACGAGAGGGGTGCCCGGGTGCGGGTAGGCCAGGGAATCCGGCTCCTCGGGAATCGAGCGCGGCGGCGGGTGCGAGACGGTGGCGAGCTTGACGGGGAAGAGGCTGCGGCGGAGGGCAAACATAGTCATCGCCGACGGCGGTTGCTCTTCATGCTGCTGCTGACCTCCGCAGACGACATCGCGGAGCTCGCCGTGGTTCCTGCCTTCGCCTGCGAGCGGGCAGCGGGACCGGACGGGCCGCGTTGCTTCGCCTGGGAACTCGGGGGCCGGGTGCTCGGGGGAGGAGAAGCACGTCTGGCCGAGCGTCCATGCCGCGTGGAGGATGCGCGGCACGTCGGCGAGGTGGCGGCACTCGAGGAGCTTCTTGAGGTCGCCTGAGGAGCGGGGCTGCCAGCGGAGTTGGTTGCGTGCGGCCTTGTCCCAGAGGGTGTGCTTCCACTCGTCTTTGAGGGAGCGCTGACGGAGGAGGTTTTGCATCTGATGATAGTATGTCCACTCTGACGAGACGCTGAGATTGTTGTTATTACAACCACTGGTGTTATTAATGGTGCTGCTGCGCTTGTCAAAGTGACTGGCGAGGTGGTCAAAGTAGGCGTCGGCCGTCTTGGGCGCCTCGCTGTCATCGGCGGCCTCGTAGACCTCTTTGCAACCGATGAAGCCGCAGGCGAAGACGACCTGCGTGCAGAGGCCGACCTTGACCTGTTCTGCTGCCGCTACCGCCGCGGCGGGAGGGTACGCCGCCTCGCCCTGGTGGTGGTCGAGCTTGACGTGGGCGATGTAGGCCTTTTCAAAGTCAAAGATCATGCGGCAGTTGTCCTGCGGGCAGACCCAGATGCAGTCGGTGTTGTGGAAGTTTTGGAGGTGCTTCTTGAAGTCGCTTTTCCTGCCGAAGCCGACGTAGACGTCGTGGACGGCGCACATGGGACACTCGATGGGCTTGCGGCCGCCGACGGTACCCGATGACGGGGACCTCATGCTGGCAGCAGCCTTTTTCTCGCGTGATGGAGTTGAGGAGAGGTGCTCGCTAATGTGGTGATCCTGCCACTCGGAGCCGGAGAGGGATGGTGTCACGGAGGGCGACATCAGGAACGGAGCGTCCACGGCGTCGGCCCAGGAGGCGGCTGCCGCAGTGCCGCCGGGCTGCTGGCTGAAATAGCTCCCCGATAAGGAGGCAGCCTCTGAGCCGCACAAGGACGCGTCGGAGCTGCTCCAGGGGCTGGCACTGTTTGTGAGGGATGGCGCGCTGTTGTTGCTGCCAAAGGTTGAGGTGGAGAGGGCTGAGTTCCTCGCCGGGGCGTCCATGTGGTGAGGGTTTCGGTGGTGGTGCTGGGGCGGAGGGCGGAGGGATGTGTAGTTGCTGCCGCTAATGTTCCGGAGGGTTGTTTCTAAGCTTCCGGACCCGTACCGGCCGGCGAGGTCGCATAGAGTTCGAACGTCTTCTGGTGACATGTTTGACGGGCTCTTGGTGGGATACATGTTGTGCTCACGGTTCAGTCGCTGTGAGACTGATAATGGAATCTATTCTTGCATGAAGCTTTTGACGGCGTGTTCAAGATTGTTAAAGGCGTAGTCGGTGTATTCGTCCTCAATTTCAGAAGGAATGGGTAGACGGAACGACGTTAATTTGATAGAAGGGTGGGCGAATTGCGAGATGGGGGGTGGTCGTTATGTAGTTAATGCCGACTCAATCGCGATGTGAAGTACGTATTAGCGGGCGGGAACGTATGACAGAATCCGAATGGCAAAGGGAAAAAAGAAATGCGCCAAGGCTAGGCACGGAAGAGCAGCGACTCGACATTTGTATACCAGCCCTCTGTCTTGCCAAGTCAAGACAACCCGTCACCCCATCAAAGAAGGCCACGAGGAGGAGACCAAGTCAAGCATGGCCAGGTCAGGTTGCGAGCCTCTGAGAGAGCGCCAACACGAGACTAATGGAGGAGGGGAATGGCGCTGTCTGACGAGTGGCGACTAGTTCGTTCGCTGAACGTTCTAGTGGAATTCTACGAGTGCGTATGTGTAGGGATATGTGGGAGTGCGTGTGTGTAAGTGGTTGTTCTCTTGCGCCTTCTTTCGCATTAGCGCGGGCGCAGGGCTCAGGACTGAGGCCGTTTTGGAGCAACGGTGAAGTAACTCCTGCATGGGGTCTTGAGGGGCCATTTGATCATGGTAATGGTAATGGTGATGGCGGGTTACATTCCTGGATGAGAATCCAATCAGCCTCAGCCTGACTCTAGGAAGCTAGCCTGGAATTGGGGGAAGGATGTCTGAGTTTCCATCGCTCGCAGCACTAGCTGCGAAGAAGTTGCTCTCGAACAGGTACTTGAGAGGAAGCTGGTTGTTTACAATAACACTCGTTACTATGGTCCACAACCTTGTCAAACTTCACCAAGCCTTCTAGAACAAATCGGATCCTCGGGAGCCTGATTCCCATTGAGGGAGATGCACGACGGCTCGACTTCAAGCGTCTTAATCCAAGAACCAACCGGGGTAAGCGGCAGCGCAGAGAATGAGACAAGAGACGCTGATCTCATCCCATTTCGATGCCGCCTTCCCCCTCATTTTTCTTTTGCGGCGAACCGTCATCTACACAGTATTTCGTACCTCTTGAACCAGTCAACCACCAGGGACGACCTCTCTCGACGAACCAAATCACAACGGAGCCGCCTGCCTCGAGCAAGAACCCACGCCCTTGTTCGTTATGTCCGGATGACAGGTGCAGGTGGAGCAATAAAGAAAAGACACCTAGAGGCAGAGGCAGGGGGCGAAGAGGGAGAGAGTCAAGAGAGACCAAGAACCTGTGTTACGATGACCACTGACAGCCTGATAGGACGCACTCGAGTCCTGGCGGGGCTGTGTAGCGCCCAGCTGAGCGAAGGAAAGTAGAAAGCCAAGACCGTTAGCGGCCTTCTAGAATGGCGCTAGAACAAAGGATCCGCATGACTGTGTTTTTGGTCTGTGATGGTGGTGGTGAGATTGGGTGTGGGCTGAGATGGTTGGTGATTCGGCAAGGGTGACGTTTCCCCCTAGTCGAGAGCATCAACAGACATATCTTGGACTGGATGGGGTTTGAATTCCATCAACGAAGGACCTAACCGTTGTCGCCGGAACGTCGTGTCGGTGTGTCGCGTCGTTGTCATTGCCATGGGGCCAGCTTCTGGTCCGTGGTCGACATCACCGTCTCGCGTCTTCCGGAACCGAAGCCCCGGGACGATTCAAAGGGTGTCTCTCAACTGGTCCTCTATCC